TTCCTGCAGCCCTTTTCCTCACCGATGACTCTGGCTCTCGCCTTTGCTATCAGCAGACGTGCACACAGGTAGAAACGCAGCATTGAGAGAACATGCAATGCAGTATGAAATTAATTGCAAAACTTTTGGCCAGATTATTTTTCCAAGTCAGACAATCAGTCTCAAAACTCAAATTAAACTGAAGGACACCAAGACCAAGTGGACAAAAAACCCCGAGATATTCTGCTGATGAGATATACTGCGATAGTATGCAATAAGCAAAGTTATAGACATTGCTGGAATAGGCAGAGACTTGACTGTGACCTTAAAAACACAGTTTACATCTTTAGTAGAATACGGTTACTAAAAATTGCTTTGTTACACTTATAAGCTTAAAAATTATTGCTAATTATACTTTTTACATTAGCAGGAATTCTAGACAAACACATGAAGCACTTTCTAACTTAAGACTGCTGCTGTTCTAATCACAATCAGTTTCAGCTTCTGTATGCTGGACACTCTAAACTGTCGTTGGATTTTGGTCTCCTATTGCTGCAAAGACCACTTCTCAAATTGACCAGATTCATGTGAGCGAATATTGAGATTCCTCCAAACCTATAAACAAACCAAAACATCAAGGAAAATAACTTAATCTCTTCTGTAAGCTCTGAAGCAAAGTTCTAAAAAGTAAAAATCAAATGTTTGGGAATACTTAGGATCCTTACAATAGCTTAATCCTACTAGGTACTGCACTTCTCCTATAAGAACATGAAGTACTCAGAATTTCTAATGATTTCAAGAAATTTGGGGGGCACACAACTGTGTAGACCTTGAGCATCTAGTATTCACATTATTGACACCCAGTTTCCATTGCTGAAGAGCTGAAAGAAATACCACAATATAAGAAATAAAGCATTAGGAATAAAACCAAATTAAATCCCCCTTAAAGAGGGACCTCCTGACTTCAAACTTGCTTTAGCCCATTCTTATTTAACCAGACCACAGACGTACCTGAGAGGTCATCGAGAGCAGGCTGTCCAGTTTTGACATAAAGAGCAGAATCCATGCTGACCCCTCCTGTGCTGGCCTCGGCTGTTACGTTCCCTTCATTGTCTGTCTGTGACCTGGAAGGCAAAACAAAATAGAGATGTGCATTCACTCTCCATCAAAAGTATTTCCAATATAATAACCAGACAATTGCACCTGCCATCAGACACTCTGTCCCTCTCTCCAGAAGAGACTAGCAGACTGATTTTACATAATTCATTAGTCCCAGGTTGATTTATGCCCTAGAAATGGAAACAAGCACTCAGCTGTGAAAAATAAAAAATTCATAGTCAAAGATAGGCTTCACAGCTCTTCAGACAGGGCCTTAAGACACTTGGATTTCCAGACAAATTTTAATTATCAATAACATCAGTTGTTGTGGCTAATTTAATCCTCTCTAATAAAGCCTGTATTGTATAAATACAAAGCAGGTAGTGCATGATGGCATGTTACTCTGCTGCTAGGTTCCCTTCAGTAACTAGCAATGTCACTCATTTGTATTTTAAAATAAATGACTGGGTAAAACCAACTTCAACCTCCAATTTATTGTCTGACATTGTGGTTGTCAGGTAATGAAAGGTGATGTCATAACAATCTATTGTCGTTTTTGAGTAATGTATCTTGACACATTCAACATTACTAGCTGCTCTGTGGTTCGCTCATGGAGCCACATCAACCAGCGGCTGGAAGCTCTCCTGTCCAAAGGGTGAGTGCTGTACAGAAGCGAAGACAGAACAGGGAATTACTATTGCAATATTCTTAATTTCAGTTGTCCCTATATGAAATGTAGAACAAGTTCTCATGTCTTTTACTCTAAAATAAAAAAATAAAATTCCTCCAATGCTGAAAAATAAAAACTATTTTTTCAGTTTCTCAGCATTTTCACCAGCTGCCAACAGGTAGTTTCATTACTGTTTTTTGTAAAAATTGAAATAAATGCCACCTAGAGTTTATCAGTACATTTGGATTATAGAAAATGTATGGATTGCATCTGCTTTTACACTTTTGATGATGATATCCATGTTCAAATGAAGAAGAACACGAAGTAGAGTCCTTTTTACTTTATCTTTTGATAAAACATTTTAGTGATAAACTTAACAACCCAAAGCATCATGAACCCATTTTTGAAGGTTATGAGGGATAAACAATAAAGCAACCAGTTTGCAACCACAATTTGCTACTAAATTATGGATTAAAATAGTAGGAACTGCACTGGCATTTTTCACTCAAAAAAAATCTCCAAAAACTACTAGTAGCAGATCCCATCTTCAGACAAAGCTACAACAATAACGCTGATGTACGTAGATGAATGAAGACCAAGGGAGATTCAGAACATGTACCATTAATACAAGTTCTAGTCAGATTAATTTTTCCTGACTGGTTCATTTTTCACGTGACCGCATCGCAGAAGGACAACTGGCATTTTATTCCATACACACAGGGAGAACACTCAAGGGGTCAGAAGACTTAAGGGTTGCTCTTCCCATTTTGCATTCCTACATAGGTCTTTGGCATCCCTCTCCTTCAGGTTAATTCCATTTACACTCACTTTTATTTAAAAAATGTGGCCAACCATTTCTTACACTACATCTGCCAAGAGATCAAAGGCAAAAATGTGCATAGTAGAACAGAAAAAATGATGGGGAAGGGTGACAAAGATGACCAAAGGGTATGAATGGCACCTCTACAAGTAAAAACTGAACAGCTAGGACACCTTAGCCTAGAAAAGACACGTCTTAAGGGAGAGAAGGATGGGACAGAGGTCTCTCAAACCATGAAGAGCATGAAGATGATGAAGACAGAACTGCTACAGTGTCAAAGGAAACTAGGAGATGGCTGTCAAAACCAAAAATCCCACCATCTGACTCAGGAATGTCTTGCGTCATGGTCAGACTGGGGAGCACATCCCTAGGAAGCTTTGTTATTGATTGCCCTCTTATTACTCTTCCTTATGCATCCTCTACTGTCATTGTCAAACAGAAGATGCTTGGACTGGATGCAGCTTAGTTATGACCCCATATGGCTGCTCTCAACGCTTGTCTAATTCAGGGTTAACGCACAGAACAGCAGACATTGTGCCTGGCCCTACCTGTACTGAGGGATTTTTATTTTTTTTTTATTTTTTAAGATTTCCCATTACTGCTTATGGTGAGGCAGCTCCACCACTATTAGCCACGCTGAAGGGAATGAGTGTACCTACATCATAAATTGGTGTTGCTACAATTTTCAAAGCTACGATGCATAAACCAAACCTCATCCACACGGTACAAGAAAAAGGCAAGAGCAGTACCTGGTCAAGAAGGTGTTAGCATTCACATCTTAACTGTTACAACAATTATTCGCCCTCCTGTCCATCGCAACTTCCTATAATTAGTCTGATGGCCTTCACCAACAATTTCTGCGTAAATGTATAAACTGCCTACTCTCTTAAAGCAAGGAACTTTTACATGACATGGGATTCAACTTGCTGCCTAAACCCCCCTGAGTGTCTAAAAGAACCTTCCTATCCAAGCATCCCACCCAAACCAGCCCACCGGAGAAGCTCACCGTACCTGTACATGAAGGGAGCGACCGTGGCGGTGTTTGGGTGGCTGTATTGCTGCTGGGGGTGAGGTAGCTGAACACTCACGGTATTGCTCCCTGTGGTGTGCGTCGTTGCGGCGGGTGCGTTGACAGTTTGGCTGCTGCTGCTGCTGTTGAGGCCTCCTACGCCTTTTCCTTCCGAGGAGGCGAGGCTGGACGAGGAGCTGGAGTGCCTGCCGTCCAGCTGAGACTTCTGGTGAGAGAGCCCCGAGCTGGCTTTCCCGCTGCGGCCTCTCTCGCCTTCCTTTGCAGGAACGGGGGCACTTGAGGATTTCCCTGTGCTGGTTTTCATTCCTGGTTTTGGTATTCCACTGTGCGAAGGGGCAGAGGCCTCCTTCTTGGCACTATTCAGCTTTCCTCCTTTAGGGATAAAGCTTGTGATCTTGGAGGACTTTTTTGGCATCTCGGTTGTTGCTAGAGCTGTCTGCTCTTCTTTTGGTTCCTCTCTCGCATCCAGCTTTTCAGTGACAGATGTTCTCTTTGCAATGTCTTTACTTTTATCCTTTTCTTTCTGTTTCTCTTTATCCTTCTCATTACCCTTTGGAGAACTTTTCTTATTAGTTAGTGCTCGGCTAAAAGTCCTTTGTGCAATTCCCTTGAGCGCGATTTTGGGACTGCTGGACATGGATCCTGGATTGTTCACATTCTGATTTGTGGCATCAATTTCTTCACTTTCCTCAAAGCTGAGAAGTGTCTCTAGCTTTTCACAACTGTTGTCGCGAGACCCCGGACACTCGAGCGTTGTCCCTCCTGCTTTGGAGCCTCCTTTGCTATTGAAGAGTTTTAATTTTTCCAGCATGGATTTTTGACCGTTGGGAGTTGTTTTGGCGATTTCCGATGGTGGCTTTGGAGGCTCCGACACAGGCTGCTTTACGGATAACATGGAAGACGTAGCTGTGTGCTTAGCGCTAAGGGACTTGCTGCGCCAAGGTTTAATAGCGGAGCTGGGCTGAGGGATGGCTGATGAGTTATTGCAACTGACGGTGCTGCTGCAGCTTTGAACTGAGGATGAGCCATTTTCATTCATTCCTGTGGGCTGGGAGGCTGTACTGTCTGCTGGCTCTGGAAGAAAAACAAAAAACAACCCAAAAAACGAACACATTAGTACCTGATATTATAGCTAGTCTGAGATTCTTTCTGTAATGAAACATTAGGAACTTTACACTAATAACATATCACGATAGACACATATCACTATTTTTGACATCAGTATCATTTAAAGAAAATAAAAGCTGTTCTTCTTTTCCTACCCAGCAGAACAGCAACAAGCTCCTACTATGTAATTTACATTTACTTGCTGTTTCAAGAAAGAGAAGAAAAAAAAATAATCTTCTCCAATTCAAACCAAAATGCGTTTTGCAATGTGTTCTCCCTTATTAAGTTCATAATACTTTTTCATTAGCAAAAACACAGAACTATTTTCTAACTGAGGCTTCCCCCTGCTTTTGGCAATATATTTGCTGTCCAAGTTCAATTCTTAGAAAAACCTCAAACATATTCAAAAATGCAGGAGTAAGGAAAAAATTTAAACTGAGGTCCTTTCAGTTATTGGGGGGGACGAGATCTTCATATGCAAAAGGTAGAAGAAAACTCCATGTACAAAAATAAAACCAATTGTGTCTTTATGCAATGAACCTAAATTAAGTATTGCCAGATATCTTAGTCCAGCTGTAAGAGAAACTAGTGGCAGTAACCATACAGCCCTTCCCCCTCCCCTCCCCAGAGAAAGCAAACTTTTTATTTATTTACTTCTTTTTAATGTTATTTGTCCTTATTAAGAAATTAGCTGAGAGCTTAAAGAGAGCATGAAAAAATCACACTCACCTACCGGTGGCCACTTCTCCTCTGAAGTTTCTCTTTGCAGAGTTTCCTTTCTGGAGACGTTACTCTCTCAATTATCACAAATATGTTTTCTGTTAAACTGCTCATGTTTCCAATTAACTTTTGTCATCTATGTCTGTTCGCCTGCCCAGCAGCCTGCTGGGGATTAACGGCTCTTACCTATATTCCCCTGCCCTCTGGCAATAAAGTAAACTGTGTAGAGAGCTGCATTTTTTTAATTCAAAAATCAACAGTGGTTGAGAGCGTGCGTTTTCGGCAGCAGGAGCAGCCCCGTGAATTCAGCCCTGTAAATCACGAGCCGCCGCAACCACACAGGGACTGTTTTACTTCACTTTCAGCTGCTCAGTGAAGATACGGCTCTGTTAACCTCCCTCCTCTGATCCAAACCAGATCTACTAAAGATTTAAAGCACATACATCTTCCTGACTTAGCAGAGAATCGGGTTTCTAAGAGCATTAGAGAATCCTTAATAATAAACTCAGTCATTTCACGTGGTTATGGACAAAGTGGGATAGCACGAATTAATGATACTTTTAAAAATATTACTGAAGTCAGAAGTTTCCAGGACTCTGTTGTTAAGCAATAACTATTCTATTGGCCGGTCTGGCTAGTCCTTTTTCTATGGCAAACTACCCACACGGAGCTGGAAGGAAGCAGGGGCTGGATTACAGACACAGCAAGGAATCGTCCTGCTTTTAAACTCGCGCCAGCCTGCTGACTGCCAGGGCATTACTCCTGTTTTACTCTAGCACGGAAGGAAAACCAAGCCACCAAATGTCCCAACAGCAATGCCACCTGGTTCTCTGGTTGCTCCGCTCAAGGCTGCTAAATTCAATCCGATGGGTTAAGGAGGACTGAAGAAGTGACAGTGTAGGAGCTGCGGTGACACCAGCGCAAGGGGAGGCAGTGACCCACCGTCTCAGCGCCCTGCCCATGGACAGGGGAGGGGAGAGAAGGTCACAGCTGCTTCCGGAGCTGCTGGAAACGTTATTCCTTCTGCTTTCAAAAGCTGTGCACCATTGCTTTTTCCTTCATGCCTTTCACCGTCCACCGCTGCTTTGTTATTATTTTTATTTCCTGAAGTCCTCCTACCCATCAAAAGCTACTTCCCATTGCAACACCGCCCCGTGCTCCTTCTGCACGCTCAGAACAAGCAAGCCTTTGTCTCAGCCTGCCTTCCACAGAAGACACCCAGAAATGTGAAGAAAGCTTCACAAAAATCCCAATTGTGCACCATTTACAATCTATTTGCATAGCTTCTTTTAAAAAAATAATAATTGCCCATCCGAATATTGGGATAGTTCTACAGAAACTGGAGACTCACGGTACTTTCAGCACCAAGTTCCTGATCCAAATGCATGCTGGCCTCATCGTGCGAAGCACATCTCGACACAAAGTGTGCCCACACCCATGAATCATCAGAGCTGCCTGCGATTCATGAACATGCCCAGGACAAACCCACAGCTGGGACCAGGGATGAACCTAATGCACCCATCAATACGGGCAGGGAACCCTTCCTCAGAAAAACTGAGTTGCAAGGACTAATGGGACTGGGACAATCTAAGGGTGACACATTGAAAATTGCCGGTAAGGGATGCAACTACAAAGCAGAAGAGCTGGCTGCACGCTCGGTTAGTGCCACACATGCAGCAGCACAAACCCAGCTCGGGGTGAAACCGTGTTTGGTCTCAGCACGAAGCCAACTGAACAGACTTGGAAAAGAAATCTGTGTTCTTCTCAAACAGGTTCTTAACAACAGTTTGAAAAAAAATACAGGCAACGTGTGTATTGGTATGAACAAAGCCATCCTGCGTCCGCCAGAACTCAGAGCCTGCGCAGAGTCCTCCAGCGAGCTGTGACCCAGGCTGAGGGACACGCCGGGGACAAGAGCTGCTCCAGGGCCAGGCTGTGGTCCATGACCTCGCTGTCACGGCTAACTCCATCTCAAACACGGAGCTAGCTGTCAACACTCTGCAGACCAGCTGTGCGAGCAGAAACTGGAGGCAACCAACATCAAAACAGGGCTCCTACCAGCTCTACAACATTTTCCTGGAAGTGAACAGAAGGTGTCGGTTCATTTGGGATGTCAGCATCACCCTAACAGCTCAGCTGAGTGCTCCACTCCACGGACTTTTGGGGAGAAGGCTTTGCCTGGATCAAGTGAAATGGCTTGTTTTCCAAATCCAAAAGCACTGCTCTGAATTTATTTGCCAACAAAATCCAGATCTTTTTAATTTCTCCTTTCTTTGAATGTTTTCAGTTTTTTTTTTTTTTTTTTTTTTTAATTCTGTTTGGTCACTGAACAAAATACACTTTTTCAGTTTGTTTGTTTTTAAACACAGCATTTGCTTTGTCCCCTACTCCCCCACATACACCCTCCTCTTTGGAACTTAATTGTGCGTCAGTTGCCAGTGGCGTAGGATGAGTACAATGTGACTCCATTTACAGAGTTGCTCCTCATTTATAGACTCATCAGAGAAATCAGAATTAGGACAATAATACTGTGACTGTAATATTTTAAAAAATGAATATACTGTAAGTTAATGAAATTTTCAGAGTTTCTACCTAAGTTTCCAGGAAGTGAATTAATGAATGTTGGATGCTACACATCTGAAATGAATGAAAAATATTTACAAACTCTTAAATATACATGTTAAGCAGCTATGCTTTGGGAAGGGAGAGAAGATATTTTCTTACACAAGTACAGTGGATGGATTTCAACTCATATTTGGGTCAAACACAGTGAAACCACAAATTCAAAGTGTTCAAGATTTTGTTACATTGCAGCATGCAAAGTTAATGCAAGAAATAAAAGGTTCACACTGAAACACACCCATGAAAAATGGCCTCGGCTTAAGAAAACTTCAGTCTTTTTAAGATTCTCTGTTTCTTTCTTGCAAACAAGTCTGCTGGCTCTTTTACTCCTCAGACCAATCTTGGTAAACGAAAGGGATTCTGCTGCCAGAATGCAGATTCAAATGCTAGGTTTCCTAATGAAGCAGTAACATCAATACACGGATAACACATCAGCATGCAAAGGGGAAAGTTTTATTCAGCATAGCATAGGCCCTTCTTTCATGAAAAGGAGAGCAGGTTTCATGCATTCGATTAATAAGCTTATTATTTCCCATGTGTTCCTTTGTGAGGGAGATATTTTCTTTCTTCAGCAACCTGCATTAACTAAAACTGACTATAAAAGAAATGTTTTCAAACCCAAGCTACAGTCTACAATAAATAATGATCGCTTTCCTCTTTTCAAAGTCAAATCTTGGCCTGAAATCTATTTTGTTTCTAGCGTTCCTGTTAAAAAAGATGTTGGTGGTCTAGTTCCAATGCCAATACGCACTGTAGCATGGGTAAATCTGATTTCAGCTGCTCCTGCAAAGCCTTAACTGCATCTGCAAACCCACCCATTTGCGATGGAAAAAAAGGGAGGCTGAAGGCTTATGATTTAATTCTTCCACTGAAGTCTTTGAGAGCTTACATTCTAATAAGGTCAGGAGAAAATATATGCGATTTCCCATCATTTGTCATGTTCACTCTAAGCAAGCGGACTTTGATTTGCTATAACTGAAAACTTTCAAAAACAATCATTATAAGCATGAAAGGCAACACAAAGACAAGGGATGTTCTCACAGTTACTTCTCCTTAGGAGGGTCAAGAACATAACAGCATTTTTATTCGTCTTAGAAAGAACAAGCTGTCATTTTTTATTTCACAGCTATGGGAAAAATAAGAAGTTCTCATGAAGAGAAATATCTTTTAGTCCAGCCCATAGATTAGATAACCGAGTTAAAAGCAAATCCATAACCAAATTCTAATTTAGGAAGTAAAAGCAGATCTGCTCTATGACATTATAGTGCCAGAACTGCAGAAGCCACTGTGACAGTTTCATCATTTACCATCTAGAGGAATAACTGGTGAGTCTTGACGCCTCCCGTCCACCGAACAGAAGACTCTCCTTCAAAGCACTACAAATAAGAGTCCTACAGAGAAAAGCTTTTTAGCTGAGCTATTCTCTTCCGCAGCAATGATTTATCACGCTCAGCTAACCCCTGAAGTATGGAAATGCCTGCGTTTCTGCCAAGAGCCAACTATAAAAATCACAATCTTTCCATAATCCAAACCACGAGCAGGTAGAGCAGAACATTGCCAACAAGAGCAGCTTGGCACACAGCCCTTCCTCACAACAAGCCCAACTCTTCCGGCCCCCAGGAGTT